ATATATATATATATATATATATATATATATATATATATATATATATATATATATATATATCAATGCAGTAGAACAAAAAATAATTATAAAATCTACGTCTTAACATTTTTATCACTTTACGGAAGTTAACACTTGCTGTGACTGTACTTACATGGTCGAATAGCACCTCCCCCTTCACCGTGCAAGAATGATGTACTTGAGTCTTTATTTTGCTGATATGAAGTTTGACCTGTAATTTTTAATGATATTTGTAATAATCGTACTGCAACGTCAGAATACTAGAACAAGCTCTACGTCTCTTTTCTAATCCTTTCATGTTTTTACTTGAGGAAATTCCATGCCCAACCGGATTTGATCCTGTCCTCTGTCCACTAGATGAACTTCCATGTGTAACTGAGCTTGATCCTGTTGTATGTCTGCCAGATAAACTTCCATAAGAACTTGATCCTGTCGTGCGCCTACCCGATGTATTACTACGTCCAAAAATACTTGAACTAGATCTAGAACCACCCGGTGACGACGAGCTTCGTCCCCATGACGAAGAGCTTCGACCCCATGACGAAGATCCTCGGGAAAAGAAATTTCTTCCAGCGTTGACGTTATCTGAAAGTGCGAAGCAAATTTGTTTAACCATAAATATATAATAAGTATATTATTGTCACTTTTATACATCATTGCTATATTAATAATATATTATTACTGTTATTAGAACTTTTATAAAATATGTATCAATATCCGATAATAAATAAATTTAAAAATTAGAGCTAATTTACAATAAATTTAGAATTTATATATTTTCTATATTATATATTCTATATTATATATTATAATGATATATAAAATTATATTTTATATAAAAATATTTTATGTAGAAATTACTTACCGGTTATAAGAAAAATTAGAACAAAGAGAAATAGCAAAATTCGAATTTTCATTGCTGTTATATCGAAGTGATAATTGTTCTACGATAGCTAGAAGAAACTGACGTACTTAGTGGCTCTACAGAATAATAAATATATACATATCTCCTCTCGTATTTATCAGTCTTCTTGGTACATACAGTACGTTTTTCTTGGAATGTTAGATTACGTTGTTGACCTATTGACCATTCACTGATACAAACGTTTTCAATACGAAAGTTTTCAATACGATTAAAGATGATTTAATATTGGAATCGCGTAAGAAATACTATCGCGTACTCAAAAGCGTCAATAATTTCTATTTCAATGAAGTGATTATATAAAATTATGTTTTTGCGTCGTTAGTTTTCCGTGTGTCATGTGGTTCTCCTATTTCAACTAAATATTAAATTTTAATTTCATATTTTTACGTAATAAAATATAATTTTTAAAAAATGTGATTATATAAAAATATATAAATATACATTAATAAAATATAATTTTTAAAAAATGTGATTATATAAAAATATATAAATATACATTATTCAATTTTTCATACAATAATTATAAAGAATAAAATTTCTTTGACATGTGAATACTTTTTATTTACATATCCACATATTTTTACTGTGATCTTGTATCTCTTAAATATAGACTTTTCAATATTATAATCTATCACTATTAATGTTTTATGTTATAAAATAAATTCGTATAAATTTAACTATTTCTTTAAAAACTCTAGCCATTTTACGAAATAAAACTAAATTTACAAAAATATACATATACATATTTAATCTTCTTAAATTAAAAAAATAATACTTCAATATAATAGCGGGCTAGTAATTATTTATGCATCTATTATACCAGATGCCTCCTTTTGGATATATCTATCTAAGATTACTTCACTTGGATAATCGGGAATCGACAGTTGTCTAAATCCTTCATCATCTACAAAACAGATCTCATGCCCATCCTAGAAATGCAACCAATCATTAATATACAAAAACCTTCTTTGAATTAACATATTTAGATATTATTTTAGATGATTTGTTTTAGATATGATTTGATCCACTACTTACTGGATCAGCAAGAATAATAACTCTGACAGAAGCTTTTCCTGGTGTATCTAAGGTTATAAGGTCAGTCAAGATTTTATTCCCGCTTTCTTTAATAGCTTTTTGAATGTTTGGCTGCTCTGAAAATGGTATTGAAAAAGCAATACGTCCGTATGCTTTTGCATGGTTAACTTCAATACCTATAACACACATCAATAAATAATATAATTTAGATACTTGAATAATTATATATATATATATATATATATATATATATATATATATATATGCACGCACATATAGTTAATATGTAAAAAAGAAAATAAAACAATTAACATATTACATAACTTACCTATATCTTCAAATTCAAGTTTGGCTTGATCTTCACTATAGCCCATGAGAACACTTTTGTCTGTTTGATCAAATATCTTTAAACCTAATATGTCCTTCCAATAAGCAATAGTATGTTCTAAATTGGAACTGGATAATATGACTTTCTCCACTGGATCTGTTCAAGATATCAATACATTTAAAAAAAGTATTAGTAATATTACATACTAATTATGATTTTACAATATTAAAATTATGGATTTAAATAATCCATCTTGTATTTACCATTGTCAGCAAAATGTTGTTCATTAATGATATGATACTTATATCCACCTGGTGCCTGCATTACAAATTTTCCATTTTCTTCTTGCATTGGCCAATTATTAGCACGTGCTCTTTCAATAATGTCTTTTGAACGAATTGTAATAGCTTTAAAGTCATTTCCTACTTCATATTCCTTAATTCCATAATTATATGTCAACTCTATTACAAAATGTGTATCTTCAGGGCCATACCCTATCATTGTTTTGCTCCAACGATTTGCATATGGTCTACAAATATATATATATATATATAAAATTATATAAAATATAAAACAAATTATAAATAATATTACAATGAATATACAAGTATCAACAGGATATATATATATAATCACACTAAATATATATATATATGCTTCTTAAAAATAGAATAAATATGATTGTAATATAAGTTAATAAACAACATAAATAATAAGAAATAGAAAATTTTGCTTTCTCTGAGTCTTATATATGTATAAATGATATTACACTACAAAACTTATTGTTACATGACTAATGACTAATGTCTACATGACTAATGATAGATTATTCACCCATTACATGCAGCCTCGCATCCATCTGCAAATTCCTCATGCCTTAGCACCTGCAGAGAGAAAAGTCGATAATTTATTATAAACAAATTGGATTGATCAAAATAAAAAAATTACCTTCATTCCAAGAATTTCACGATAGAACTTTGCTGTTAATCCACGATCAGGTATCTTGAAGACAAAATGCAACGCACGTCCAGCAATCATTTTTCTCAGAAGTCTTGTTGGATTTATTCTTTCAACGAAAAATAATCAAGAAAACTGTAATCAATCAAATTTATTAGAACTAGCAGACGCAATTCCCATAGAACGAAAAAGACAAGGATATGACAAGAAAAAGTCTGCTTTCTTAGGGTCAGTTTCACCACCTCCGGTTAAGCTAACCGAGTAGGGATGGGTAAGAAATTATTTTTCTTATAATTGACTGTGATTGGTCAACTTCTTACGGCTTAGGATTTAAAGCTTAAATTTTATGGCTAAAGGGACGTCTACATTGGAAGTAAGCAGTAAGAAGTAGGAAGTAAGAATAAGAAATTGACCAATCATAGTTAATTATTCTTCTCACATTCGACTGTGGTTGATCAATTTCTTACTCTTACTTCCTATTTCTTGCTATTTACTTCCAATGTAGACGTCCCTTAAAAGGATGTCTACATTGGAAGTAAATAGCAAGAAGTAGGAAGTAAGAGTAAGAAATTGATCAACCACAATCGAATGTGAGAAGAATAATTAACTATGATTGATCAATTTCTTATTCTTACTTCCTACTTCTTACTGTTTACTTCCAATGTAGACGTCCCTTTAAGTTCTCATTGTAGACCACACTTAAGGCCATCACACACAAAATTCCGTAAGAAGTTAAAACGTAAGCGTAAAGAAACCGACCAATCCCAATCGAACACTCGGCTCTTCGTAATCTCTCCATTATTACGAAGAGTCAAAAAAAAAAAAAATATTCGATTGGGATTGATCGATTTCCTTACGCTTACGATTTAAGTTCTAACGGAATTTTGTGTGTGATGGCCTTTAAGGGGTGTCGCACACGATTGACATAACAGTAACGTAAAGCGTCTTCTACAATGGCAGTAGGAGTAGTAGTAAGAAATAAGCAGTAAGTAAATAGACCAATCACAATCGATTATTTTTGAAACGTGAGAATGGAATTGGTCAATTTGCTTACTGCTTATTTCTTACTACTACTCCTACTGCCATTGTAGAAGACGCTTAAGAGCCGTGGCACACAAAAAAACTTAAGCAGTAAGACGTAAGCAGTAAGTAAATTGACCAATCACAGTCGTTGATTCTTGGACCGTAAGAAGAATCAATTACTGTGATTGGTCAATTTGCTTACTGCTTACTTTTACTGCTTAAGTTTTTCTATGTGCCACCAGCTTAAGAACTGACCAATCACTTTGAGTATCGTCGAACCGTAAGGTCGCCATTTTTGTGAATTCGATTGTAATTAGTCCATTTTTACGGTACGTCTTATATTAGGGCTATCGCACACAAATTGACATAACTGCATATGCATAGCATAAGACCGTATGTACCAATGAGCATCGAGTATTAAGTCGCCATATTGGTGTTCGATGCTCAATATTCGATGTCCATATGATCTTATGCTATGCATATGCAGTTATGTCAATTTGTGTGCAATAGCCCTTAAAGCCCATTCTACATTAGTCGCAATCGCAAGATTGCAAGGAAATTGTACCAATCATAATTGATTATTCTTCGGTCGCAAGAAGAACAATCAACTAGTCAATTTCTTTGCGACCTTGCAATTTGCGACTAATGTAGAATGGGCTTTATGCAATAATGTGTGCTTTCCGCTTAAATATCTTATATTTTGTCATTATATATGTATAATTTATGTACTGTCTCTTCTACCCTTATAGAAATATCATACTAAGAATCATTGATAATTACTTATTTTCAATATTAAAAATACTGGATAATAAGTAATTATCAATGATTCTTAGTATGATATTTCTATAAGGGTACTTTTCGTTTTACATGCCGATTTTAACTTTTTTTTTTACAAAAGTAACGGAAAGTAACGATTTTTTTATCGTTACTTTTCAAATAACGGTAACGCGTTACTTTTTAGAATCAGTAACGAGTAACGGTAACGAGTTACTTTTTACCGCAAGTAACGGTAACGGTAACGCGTTACTTTTAAAAAGTAACGTTCCCAACCCTGGTACGATGTACGATGTACTAAATTTTATTACTAAGACCCTTTTCTCATAATAATTTCACTAATGGCGAATTTGATTGGAAGCACTAATGTGCACCAGTGCACACTGAGATCAATTAATAGTTCTATTAATAAATCCGAGATATTAGTTATATATAGAGTTTAAAGCTCCTTACAGAATGCCAGGTAACAAGCAGTAGAAAGAGGGAATAGCCAATAGAAACCGACGCACATGTGAAAGTACAGTTTTTCATTGGCTATTTCTTGTTCCTATTACATGTTGCCTGACATTCTGGGTGCTTTCCAATTGCTTAACACATCTTGACACACACGTATACAAAACCAGTTTATTGGTCATATATTATCTGGTAAGATAATATGCAACTAATAAACTGGTTTTGTGTAACACAGTGTACGCAACTGGAAAGCACCCTCTGTAAAGTCAGAATCAGACTACGCATTGGAGATCAAGATTAAAAATTGAAAATCAAAGATTGTCTAATCAAACTGTATGATTGTGATCTGCAGTATTGCAATTGATAATATGATTGCTTTCAGAAAATAATTTAGCTCAGTGAGGTCTCAGTAATTCTTACTATGATTGGTACATTACGTGTATTATGTAATTGTAAATAAATTTCATTATATTGAACGAAATTTACCTCTCTCGCTTTTTCTGAACTTTCAAAAATCCTTATTTGTAAAATGGATCTATCACATGGTCAAAAAGTTGCTAAGGTATTGATTAATATTGTGACTGGAGATTGAAAAAATAGACTGAGCTCTAATTCCAATCTGTAATCTCAATCTTTTAGCGTGTTTAGCCCGTATCAGACTATAGATTAGGATTGAGATTGAATTAAAATTTAGCCAATCAGAGCAAAATTTACTAAGCTCAACCCACTCTGGGTTATTCAGCCTACGTTTATTGGTCGAGTATTTATAAGTAAGCTTTATGATTGGCTAGTAAAGACTTATGATTTATGATCGCTCTTGGAGCGATTAACCGGGAGCGTCCCAGATGCACACATTGACAAACTGATACAGCCAACCACAACGACCTATGCCTAGAGATATTCTAGATACTCTATAAACAACGACATATGATTGGGTATATCCGTTTGTCAATGTGCGCATCTGGGACTCACTCAAATAACCCAGGACTAGTCGAACACGCTATTAATTTGATATTATTTTATGAAAAACAAAAAAATTAAATCTATTATCGATATTTTTAAAAAAATATCGATTATAGAAAAACGATACTTTTGATAATCGATTAAATCGAAGTCGACGATTTTTTTTAGCCGTGCCCAACTCAATAACCGAGGGTTAAAAGTAGCAAAGTAGCCAACTTTTAAATGCGACGTGCCATAAATAGTGTCATACTGAACCTCAATGAACAATTTATATTCAATCTTGACATTGGCATTTCTAGTAGTTAGAATTTAACCGTAGGTTGGTTTAAGGCCGGTTTTATCAACTCCGGTTAAGTCCCGAGCCACAATAGGTATAGTAATTAGAGATGCCTGATTCTGAATCGATTCGATTCTTTCTCCAAAAATAGGTTTATTCGTGTTGTTTGCACTTTTCACACTTTTCGTATTTAAAACTAGACAGAAATATATTGGAATGTTTCGAAGAAGCAAAAACGAGACAACCAACTCGATTGTTTCTTCCAAGCGTCTAATTAAGCGTCTATCTCTTTTTAAAAGCGAAAAGTATGAAACATTCAAGCAGCATGAATAACCCTTTTTCCCTAAATTTATTAGGGAAAGAATCGGGCATCTGTAATAGTAATGCAGAATTCACATCGCGTCCGATGTCCAACGTCTGATATCCAATAGGAGAACAGTTTTCTAATAGAGAATTCAATTTTCTATTGGAAAGCTGTTCTCTTATTGGATATCAGACGTCGTACGTCGGACATCGGACGCGGTGTGAATTCTCCATAAGCTTTAAGCCTTAAGAAATTGACCAATCACAATTAATTATTCGCCTTAAAGGCCAAATCACACTAGTGATTGGCTATTGACGATTGACAATTAAAGATTAGATTTTAACGAATCAACAAGCTTCAGCCTTGGCTTGTTTTGTTCCAATTGGTCAAGTTCCAATCTTCAATCGTCAATCATCTATCGCCAATCGTTAGTGTGATTTGACCTTATAGTCCATATCACATTAGCTATTGGCGATTGATGATTGACGATTGAAGATTGGAACTTGACTAATTGGAACAAAGCAAGCCAAGGTTGAAGCTTGTTGATTCGTTAAAATCTAATCTTTAATTGTCAATCGTCAATCGCCAATCGCTAGTGTGATTTGGCCTTTACATTACTGTTATGTCAATGGCTGCGTTCAATAAAGAAAGCTGCTTTGCAACTGTGTAAAATTCGTGAATCTGATTGGTACATGCTCTTGGATTCAACCAAAATTAAGAGCATGCTCCAATTAGATTCACGAATTTTACAACAGTTGCAAAGCAGCTTTCTCTACTGAACGCAGCCAATTTGTGTGTGAAGACCTTAAGCGCCCAAAGCGAACGCAGCCCTTCATACACACAACAAGCAGACGACAAGAACAGTGGAAGCAGACAGAAGTGTCAAGAGTTACGTATATATGACTACTTTATTTACACTAGCTGGTATACTAATCGAAACTTTCTTTGAATGTAAATTATTCATATATTAATTCTCCAACGAATATAATGGAGAATCTTGCTGCAAAACTATGTTCACTCTTAACAGAAAATGCCAACACAGGTAACTATTATTATTATAACAAATTTTAATAATATTGAATATATATAATAAACTAATATATTGTGGAACTCTTTTATTAAATATACCAAGTTTAGTATGATGATGAATGCAAAACTTTTTTTGTTTTTCAGCGGAACAATGGAAACTGTTAGGACAAGAGAAAGATGGGTCAATTCTTGTTGGATGGGTACAAGAATCAAAGGAAAACGATATATGTACATCATGTAGTGTTATTGCCCGTTATGATCAGTTAAACAATAAATTACAGGTATTAAATATACTAAAAATGTTTGATCTTTACATAGATATCTATAATATTACTTATGTTGAATATTTGAATCATTTAGATATTACACCGTTTTCAAGAAGTGTTAAATATTGTTCAAGCTACAGTAAACCAAAGCCGAACATTATTAGGATATGTAACAAAAGAAAAAAATTGTTTAGAAACAACTGATTCTCCTAAAAAACACTATTCAAGTAATGATAATACAACTTGTGAAACAGAGTTCTATAGAGCATTTATTATTGAATTATCAACTAATGAAACCAAAGTGCATAATTTAGGTATTGAAAAGTCCAAGCAAGTACGGGTACAATTTTTGTACAGAGAGAAGGAACAACTTTGCATGGACAAGTTCCTAATGTTGATACACCATGAATGTAAGTAAATTCTATTCATAAATAAGAATTTATACTAGGATCATTGTATTTATATATTATATGCAAATTTCAATTAAATTATAATTATCTTTGTAAGCAGATATTAAAATATAAAGTTGAGTAATTTTTGTGAACATCAAATCTTTATGTAATTTGAACCATGCATTGCTTCTAGGTATTCTGACGTACACAGTTCAATTTGATATAAACATGAGCGACTCCAAGCTAATAAAGGAGCTAAAATCGGAAATACTTGTAAAAACATTCATATGGGCTCAGTGGGACATGATCAATCAAGTTCTCTACCATATACACCATCGACAAATTCCTGCGAGTTTAGTTTCCGAAGATGAAAACAATTCCAAGCCTTCAAGACCCACACTCAGTGGTCTTCAATTTCATGATGACTTGCCTCATGAAACGGTGGTAAGAGTTTAATAAAATAACAAGAATATGAATTGTTTGTCTAAACTCTAATGTTTACTGAAACTTGCCAGCTGAATATTCCGTTGAATTTACCGCAACTGTTGACGTCTTCCAATTGTGGCACTTACGAAGACGACGTAATACCACTGCGAGTGCACGACTGTTCTCTAGATCTCATTATGGTGTCAGATTCCAAGGGAATGGTCTGCGTTTGTCACCACTATCTTTACCGACCCGTACAGCCGCCGCAGCATGTACTTAATTCGCTGAACGACTCTAACACGGTGCATTTTGCATACTCGGTGACTCTGCTACATCATAGCTGCGTGATCCACTGCGTTATACCGGGTATACCGTGGTCACGTGCCAAACTCATGAGACCAACCTTTGCGATATACGAGAATCATCACATGGCGGTGTTCGTGCCAGGATTGTTTCTGCACTTCCTAGAGATCGGATTGAATCACGAGCCCTGTTGCCACATACTGTGCGGCCCACCACCGTCGATGCCATCTCGTGCTTCTTATTTGGTGCCATTATTCGATTTGGATAATACTGGTAAAGGAACGAGAAGGAACTCCTATCATAATAACATAGATGGCAAACCAAACCATTCCGACGGGAGTAACTCACTCCCGAATTCTAGTTCGAGCGTGTGGACGATAGATTTACCCACTTTGGATCTCGTGCAACTAACAATTCCCACGGACTTCCTCGTCGAGGTCTTCCGCAAGGAGACTTCAGTAGAAACTCGTTTGGGGATACTTCATTATTTTCTTTGTCACAAAACCGACATGGAAATCGTCGCGGAGTTAGTCTCGGTCCTTGCAGAAAAGCCGCGCTCTTTGGATATTGTGCGTTTCATGCAAGAATTTCTCATAGGCAGCTCTTACGCACTGGTGCAGAAGAATCTCCTCACAGACACTATCCCCTTATTGTCCCTGTTACCAGTCACCACCATAGGGGATTATCAAACTTTTGATATAAAGGTGAACGACTTAAGTGTCACGTTAAGTCATGAGAAACTCTGGAATACGTCAGTAATGTTGCTCTCACCGCAACAAAGACTCGTCCCATATCGTAGCGACTTGTGGACCAGATTGTGGGATCAACTGAATAAAAATGGTGGTGACAAACAGAGATTTAATCCCAGTCGTATCGCAGAAAAACTACTGGTTTCTTTAGCTTGCTATCAACCAGAGGCATTGTCCAGATGCAGCACCCCGATGTCGCCAAGTGGAGGGTAATAGTAGTTTGTACTCAAATTCCATGTGAAATTGCATAAATTTGTTAAGCAGATTATGTTAACTTCAAAATAATTTCTTAGACTTTAGAAATTCACAGATATAAGTAGTTTGAAATAATTTTAATGTTTAAGAATTGACTATATATGTGAGTCATTACAAAAATATGAGAAATTACATGATATGAGTCAATGCATATTCGAGCTACGCTACATTGTGCTAATTTATTTGTGAATTTTTTTTACAAAATTAAGAAATTTATCTTATTCATATTACTTAATATATATATAACTTAAATAATATTTTCACACTCGTAAATAATCATGTATTTACTGTTATGTATACATTTATGCTTATATATTTACCGTTACATTTATGTAGCATTTACTATTTGTGTGTTATAATATAATTTGTACGATTATGTTTGTATGATATTTATTACGAATTATGTTGCAGATTTGTTGCAATGCCACTTGGAGACCTGATGGTTAATCGCAGCATGAAATTGGACTCTAATCTGCCGTTTAATGAGATGGAAAGTTGTACTGCCTCGAAGCAGGAACATATTGTGTCGGTGAATTTGCGCGAACTCTCTATGTATCTTCTAAAGAACGGCACGCACACGTCAACTATGCTCACCCGAGGCTCTTGTACCACGTTACATGTTCACGCCATGGCCACGAGACACGTAGCTGCACAATTGGAAGCCTCGCGTACGCTCTGTCAGATACTCTGCAGAGCAACTGGCGTCGATCCAAGGATTGAGCAGGAACGTGGCTTTAGTCTTATGTAAGCCCAATTTCCATATCGATACAAAATTTTTAATTTGTCGTTGATACAATTGAAAAACTTATTTCTGAAAATGTCTTAAATCTATATTTAATAAAATAGAGATTACATTATATGAAAGAATATGTAGAAGGGACCGTCTTGAATATGTCCGTAATTTATAATGTTTCGAGTATCAACTTGTTCATCCACGATGAATCTTATCAGTTATTAACTTATTTCATCTCAACTCTTTATCTAATGTTATTTTTTACAGAGATAAATTGGATAAAGCGAGGCGATGGTTGCTATTCACACTCTTGCAACGATACAGGTATTCTATAGAGAGTATCGCTTACCCAGCACCGCAGGGGTTTGCGTCGTTCTTCACTTACCTCGGATATCGCACTCTCGATTACTCCATGTTTTTGCAATACATTCAACGCTCGGTATTCGAACTGCAGGTTGACGTCGGGAAAGCTATTTTAGCTGGTATGTCCTCACGATAAAAATATTTGCGTATCACGAATATTCGAACACAATAAGACATGACAGTAATTGACAGTAATAAACGATGACAGTAATTGACTGTTCAACTTATCTGTGTAGATATGAGCGATGCGAAAAAGGATGTCATTCAAAAACTGGGGTTACTCTCCTTAATGCCAAGATCTCGTGCAAAAAGATTGTTAAATCAATGGTTACATCCAGTTAGTTTAATGCTGCGAGCCAGAGAACATGCCGCTAATATTCTATGTGGCGAAGAAAGTCAAAATCGAGTCGGTAACCGACCTTTGCAACATCGTAATCATCATAATAGTAAGTAAAATGTAAAAGAAATGTTTCAATAAACTCATATTGAAACAACACGCCCATTAATTGCTTCTAGGTTTAGCAGCATTCCCTTCAGAAGACCGTCTCTCGCCATTAGACACATTCTTAGATTTACTTACTGCAAAAGGTGAGAATTATATCATATTGATAACATGATTATAATTACATCATCTTAAAACAATGATACTCTTAACAATATCTAACTTTTTCTTTAGCCAGCCTTACTGAATTGGATTTTGGATTACTGATAGAGGCAACAGTCACATCTACAGAAGATTTTCTTTAACTAGTATTGAATTTAATGTGGAATCGTATTTTGTCAGTATAATTGGTACTGACAACTACCAAAGAATGTTTTTTTAAGTAAAAGGATTTATTTAACAAATAATTAATAACCACTTATGCGAATTTATATATAATTTTCATATGTACTTGGATAAGATATCGCGTATTTTATACTTTTATATAATTTTGTTATTGAATCTTATGTATATCTTATTAAGCTTATATCTCTCAAAGCGTTGAGGAAACATTGTTGTAAGATATATTTACAATTATGGATATTGCTATTTTGACAAAAATATCAAGTACCATCAAAACTTAGTTACCATCACTGATTATACATTTAATATATCAATAGATAACAAAAAATAACGAAAGTTCAATTATTCAAAAATAGTGATCAGATTTCCAGTCCTGAATTCGGGACACTTCATAAATGTGTGAAGCGGGGAGTGAAAAGATCCGAAAATCACTTGACAATCATTGAAAATGATGTCAAATCGGTGTCCCAAATAGCACTCGAAAAAATTCGAAACAAAGGGTGAAAAATCGGGACGTCTGATCACCTTACCAAAAAGTATGTATTCTATATTGCAAACATTTTTTTCTGAAGTTTTTGAGAAACCCCTATCTCTTATGCAAAAAATTACCACCCAGGAATTAGCAATATAATAATAAAGTAATACATTATATTATTGAAAAATGTATATCACGCATATTGTTATCACGTTTAAACTTACTTAAGCATAAAAATGTGCAATCTTTGAATTACATAAAAATTATCTTGTATTTTAATTAAATTTTAATAAATTATAAAGTGAGAAGCATTTATATTATTGCTATTTCACGTGCGTTATTTTTGGGAGGATCCCGATTGCCGACAGTACGATTGACCACAAATTGTAATGATTGGTTCGATCTGGTAATTCACTAGATAATTCTTATCATCGATTGATTTGTGTGCAATCGTACTGTAGGCAATCGGGACGCTCCCTTATTTTTTTATGATTTTATTAACACATTCCTGAATGAGTGTGCCAAAAAACTTAAATGCTAAACATTATAATATTGATATTCTGTATGAGTTGGTATTATAAATACTTGTATGAGTTAGTATTATAAATTGGCTGCGTTCGGGGAGATGCTATTTAGCGCTTTGAACATCCTTTGTCCTTGTTCAATTTTTAGAAACAAACAAGGACAGAACACACTCATAACGCTAAATAACGTCTCTTCGAACGCAGCCTGGATGGGACCATGCATATATGAGTGTTTTCGGGGAGCTCGCTATTAGCAGTATTCAGCGCTACCGTGTTATTCTGTCCTTGTTGTACATCTAAGGAGCGATAAAGATAGAAGAAGTGGTAGCGTTGGTAGCGTGTTTTCCGAACGCACCCATGTAAGGCTGCGTTCGGAAACACACACTGTGTGCACACTACTAGACGATAGCCGTTGGAGTAAGCGAAATACAAGAGTGAGATAAAAAAAGAGGGAGAGTACTCGAGTGACGTTTCCGAACACAGCTTAATACTACTATGGCTACGTTCGTTTTGGTGCTTACAACGCTCTAAGCATTATTTCATCCTTGTTTCTATCAAATATTAAACAAGGACAAATGATGCTTACACGCTATAAGCGTCAAAACGAACGCAGTCTATTGATTCCTGCACACAGGACGCGGTAATGCTTGCCGCGCGGCGGAAGTTCGCGCGACAGCCAATCAATATGTTATTTTTCCGTAAGAACTAAAAGGTTATTACGGAAAGCAGCATATTGATTGGCTATCGCGCGAACTTCCGCCGCGCGGCAAGCATTACCGCGTCCTGTGTGCAGGAGCCATAACTTATTGCACAAGTTCAGCAGTGCAGCTACAAAGAACAGACCTTATGTGTGAGATGGTAGAAACCAATTAGTTATTTTTCTATTTTTGAAATCGAAGCCTTAGCTATTATCAAAGCCATTTCGTATATAAAATTACAAATTGGGACTAATTATTTAATCGTTACCGACGTTAAAAGCGTGGTAACAGCTATTAGCTCGGTGGATTACCAATGATCTAAACCACACTATATATATGTGATCAAGAAACTCTTGCTCTCGGCCAATAACTTTGATAGTAATATAATGATTGCCTGGGCCCCTGGGCACATTAATCTTTATGGCAATGATCTAGTAGACTTTCTCGCATCACAGGCAGCACATCAGAGTACAAATCTTGTTGCCCATCATGAAAACCGCTATTTTTATTCTAACTTCTGTTCAGCAACTTTGAAACACTATAAACAGATTTCATACTCTATATTGGAACAAACTGCTTCATATAAAGGCTACAGATATTTTAATAGAACCAGAAACAAAGATTTGTCAAATCCATGGTTCAAGCAATTTAAGCATATTCCTAGAAAGTACATTGTTATAATTAATAGGCTTAGGTCATTTCATACCAGGTGCAACTTACATTTGTACGACAAAGGCATAACTACAGATAAATCCTGCCCGTGTGGTCACGATTCTCAATCAGCGAATCATCTTTTCTTTGATTGTATTGACTTTAAAAGGCATGCTGATGCATTGCTATTGGATCTGCATAGATTTAATCTTTCAAAGGACATACACGAACTCGCATTCATTGAAACACCGATTGTTTTAGACATCGTTTGTAAATTCTTAAAAAACTCGGATATCAGTATTTGAATTAAGCGGCCATCTTATGGCTGCTCAAATCTGTTGGAAACACCAGATGGCGATGGATTCTATCCGGGGCCAAACCAAGAAGGAAGGAAGGTAGAAACCAATATGGCGACAAACAGTTCCCCCCGCGTTCCTGAGTATATACCCCTCTCGCCAAAAGTAAGTGTTTAGTCTCCGTCCCCTTATTCCTTAGTCTGTGGTTACCACTTTTAGATTTCTCTCCATGTCAATCAGTATAAATGTGATTAATAAATACAACTGACAAACTATTAGTGACGTCGTAGAGTAGTCAGTATATTTTGTACTGCAGAGAATATTTACAAATATTTACAATATTTTCTCGTAAAAAATGTCAGTAAGAGGTTAAATTAATCAGAGAAAATCCTATAATAATATACATTTGACTGTAAGTTACTTTATCGTTATATTTGTCTTATATATGATTTACATTAGTTTTATATATACATTGTACATATACATATACATTGTAAATATCAATATGAACATACTTGATTTAACTATATTACATAATTACAATGTATTATATATGATCTTAACAAAATTATATTTATACACAAAGCATCAATAAAAAGATATAACCATATCATATTTCATTAATTTTATTATTAATTATATTTCATATCAATTTCAGATTTAGTAACATTATGGGTGATATCATTTTGACGAGTGAACAAAAGAAATTCTTAGCAGAATGCGAAGAAGAGTTTAAAGACCGATATACAGAAAAGGATACCAATTTTATGGAAATCAAGAGACAAGTTCCTAAAAAACCACCAATTGTGGATCCTTGGTATAATAAACCACGTAGACCTTACGACTGGACACGTCAGAATCAAAATCAAAATAAACGTAATCACCATTGGGATCGTCGAAGTAATGAAAGAAATGAAAGATGGGAACGTCATGCTGGTAAACATCATATGCATCATCGACAAAGAATGTATTAGTACACATACACATAAACACAAATATAAATGGAATATATAAAAATAAATTCTAAACTAATTCTAATTATTTTTGTTTTTTCACTACATAATTATTATCTGATAATATATAATAGTATAACTTATTGTGTGTTTTATTAATTTTCTCTCTGTTATGTAACATTGTGGCTGCTTGCAGCTGTACTTATAGGAATTAATTAAAATTAATTTTATATTAACTGTTTGATCATAATATTAAAACAATTAAGTCTTTTCTATAACTTGATAGAATAAATTCATCAATGAGTCGGATTACTTGAAAATACGGTAATTATACAGTTTAGAGTCCTCATCATCGATTTAACTAAAAATTAACAATGTTGTATATTTTGACGCATAGAAATCTAATATGAAAGTTTAAGGGCTATCGCACACAAATTGACATAACTGCATATGCAAGCATAAGATCGTATGGACCAATGAGCATCGAATATTAAGCATCGAATACCAATATGGCGACTTAATACTCGATGCTCATTGGTACATACGGTCTTATGCTATGCATATGCAGTTATGTCAATTTGTGTGCGATAGCCCTAAATCGTCGTACTGCTCCGCAAAACGAGATGCATTAGGGCTATCGCACACAAATTGACATAACTGCATATGCATAGCATAAGACCGTATGTACCAATGAGCATCGAGTATTAAGTCACCATATTGATGTTCGATGCTTAATATTCGATGCTCATTGGTCCATACGATCTTATGCTATGCATATGCAGTTATGTCAATTTGTGTGCGATAACCCTTACTACGCATAGGGTGTTTTCCAATTGCAATATCCCTAGACACTTTCATGCACATAGCGACACAAGTTGCATTCCAATTGTCGTAATCGCCGACACAACACTATAAATCCGTATTCAGTTCGAGGGCTACTCATGGATGTAGGAATATAAGGATAGAGCGTAAGCTGAGTTTATAGGCAAGGGGGATGAAGCCGATTTGAGAGACGAGATATCTCTAAAACTGTGCCTGAATTTGATTGGTTGAGTTGTACTCATGCGCAGTACCGCCAATTATAAACGAAATATTAAGAACATGAACATATAATTCAGAATAATACGTGAAAAATTAATAATAACACAGTGAGTAGGAGACGATTCTATGCAAAAATAAGTAAAAAAAGAATATTTTCTTATTACAACTTTGTTTTCGAGAAAATCGAGGTTAAAGATTTGTCGAGTAAAGATCTTAATCTTGGCAATGCATTCCGCTTAATTGTACATATAGAGCCACTGTTAGTAAATGACTCTTCGTTGAAGTGCAGGGAGTAAACGCGGGATGAATTCGATATTGATTTAATATATAATATATCAAGCCAAAATTTATGAAGCATATCATCTTTTGGAATACTGTGAAGAATATTTAAAAACAGTTTTTCATTAACAGTTCATTATCATTAAAAGGTTATCTTAACTATAAAATGTGATTTTTTTTCACTTTGATTTTTTCCAATTTTGGCAGCCCAATCTGCTTTTGCAAAAAAGAACACAACCCAGTAAACATGCATGTCTAAAAGATGTCGAAAAGATATCTAAAAGATATCTTATGCAACATTTTGTTGCATAAGACGTCTTTTAGATATCTTTTCGACATCTTTTAGACATGTATGTTTACTGGGAACACTGCACCATTATTCCAACGATTTATTAACAATAAACAATAAGACAATATTTACTAACCTCCTCACATGTACTCAGACGTTTAGTGGACGCTACATGTGGTTTGTTTTTTTCAACTGCACTGCTACACTGGTGCAATAAGTTAAAGTGAAATAAAAGGGAGCGTCCCGATTGACCACGGTACGATTAGACACAACCAACCGATGAAAAGAATTATTTAGTGAATTACTAGCTCGAACCAATCATTACAATCTGTGTCCAATTGTATCGTGGTCAATCGGGTCCACCCCAAGCAATCCAGCACGAAACAAGCATCGTGTGCCGCTGACTTTAGATTTATTTATTATGATTGGTTTATTAAAGTAATGGCTTCTGTACACAAGACGCGGTAATGCTTGCCGCGCTACGGAAGTTCGCGCGACAGCCAATCAATATGCTGCTTTCCGTAATAACCTTCTAGCTCTTACGGAAAAACAACATATTGATTGGCTGTCGCGTGGACTTCTGCCGCGCGGCAAGCATTACCGCGTCTTGTGTGCAAGAGCCAATACAATCATTCCTCTCACCTCTTGCGCTTCATCCCTTTGGCTTCACCTATGCTACAATGTGCTCCGTCCATATATTCTTACGTCCATGGATATACCTATGGTCCATACAGTGAAATATTCCGATGAACAGTCATTCTTGATGCATTTTTTATCATGCTTTTGACTACACGAAAAATAATTGATATAAACTAATTATATAAAAAATTAAGTTATATGTCTAGAAAAAGATACTAAAATACATATAATTCTTGCAAATATGTGGGCAGATACTATTCTAATTGTATTTATCAGCATATGCACAGCATTGTTAGGTGAAGGTAAAGTAACAAATAATTTCAATAAATTAAAAATTTATTGCTAAGCTTAAGTTAAATAGTATAGAATTATTTATGTACATATATATATATTCCAATATTTATTAATATTTCATCATATATATTTGAACGTATAAAAAGTATAGACTTATATGTTTTAACATATTTACTTAAATTAACTTAAATTTACTTAAATGTATTATTTAGGATTAACATGGCTAATGGTGTATAGAACTGAAAAATATCAAAAATTGAAGGCTGAAGTGGAAAAGCAGAGTAAGAAGTGTAAGTTTACTAAAAAAATATTACTATAATTATATGAAATATTAAACGCTATGTGACATTTATTTATATAGAATATTTTTACTTGTTAGTGGAAAAGAGAAAAGAAGCCCATGGTGATTCTCTGGATAAACAACAAAAGAAAAAGATAGAGCGTGAAGAGGAAAGATTAAAAAATAATAATCGAGACTTGTCTCTTGTGAAAATGAAATCAATGTTTGCAATTGGATTTGCCTTCACAGCGCTTTTAAGTATGTTCAACAATATATTTGATGGACGAGTTGTTGCTAGATTGCCATTTGTCCCAATCAGTTGGATACAAGGCTTGTCACATAGAAATCTGTCAGGCGATGATTACACAGAATGTTCATTTATATTTTTGTATATATTATGTACTATGAGTATCAGACAGGTAAATTTAATAATATACTATTATGAATATATTTAAATATATGCAAAATATTTAATACATTCTTGTGATTTTTCATTAGAACATTCAGAAAATGCTTGGCTTTGCACCATCCAGAACTGCAAGCAAACAAAGTGGAGGTATCTTTGGACCTCCCCCTCAACAATTTAAATAAATTCATATTTGAAAAATTACGACCAATGTTTTCATCAATTTTTGCACACCCTATTGCTAAATTTTGGATGCTTACTCATATTTGATTGATCTGTACAATATTTATTGTTTTACTTTATACTCTATATGTAAAAATATTTTTAAAAATATTTTTAAACAAAATTCTTAGATTTCAATGTATATCATTTCCGAATAATATATAAAATACAAGTAAAACAGATATTTATACTTTGTATTATTTAAAAAAGAAAAAATTACGTAAAATTATATCAGTTTATTTGTTATATAAATAACATAATAATTAAAAATTGTACAAAAAAAGATAAGGATCTAATAGAAATTAAGCATAAAAACATGAATTTTGTATAATATTATTTCAATGTGAAATATTTCGAATATATATGTATGTAAAATACTAAATCTCTATAGTATTTTATAACATGTAATATAATAAAGGATATACACACCTTATATATAATTTACAAAATCAGTGGGCAATTTTAAAAAATAGAGTTGTTACTTGTATATTTTCATAAAGCAGCGCTTATACAACAATCGATGTTATATACAAACATAATGATCAACCATATACAAAAGAGCGCAACCATTTTCTTACATAGTAAAAAATTTACGATATATATATATATATATATATATATATATATATATATATATATATATATTTATATTTATAATACTAGGCTATATATAGTATATGATGGAGTGTATGTATTGTATATATATTATATGTTTATTATACTACACTCCCTATATATTTTAACGATAGTCTGAGTTATAAAGAACTTTGTTTCACAATTTTATACATTGTTGAAAATCCGATCGAATAATACCAAATCGAATTGATTATCTTTCTATCTTAGATGATACACATAGAATTTCGTGTAATATTTTATAATTGTTCTCTACTTGTTACATATCAACAAAACTTATATTTAAGCCAACCTGCCTTTTATTAAAATTATCGATTCATATATGTTATGCAATCGTGATATTTACAGAGAATCTACACGTAGAAATTATTATGACAAAAAGCGTAAGGAGTAAGCTTACTGTTGAAACTTTTGGTGTTCTATTATTTGCCATTGTTGCTATTATTTGCCATTATTGAATATTATTATAATAATCCATTTATATTTCAGAATTCTACTGTTTTCAGCGTGAAGCAAACATGATATTATATAACGCAATTTGAAATGTATAAAATTCAAAAATAATGATGTGTACGTGTGATAATCATATAATTCATATACGACATAGTAACCCCAGACAGCACAATGTCCAAAACCGGGACATAAGATGTCTTTAAGACATCTTTAAGACAACTTAAAGACCTCTTATGTCCAGACATCTTAAAGTCGACTTAAAGACGTCTTATGTCCCAGTTTTGGACATGTGTGCTGTCTGGGACGATATTTATGATTTCTTTTTAGTCATATATAATTCCGAAACAGAATATTATATAATTGTAATCTCGACAGTGACAACTTACAGGAAACAAAAACGCAAAATTAAGATGCCAACATGATTTCACGTACTGCAGCAAAGAGATTTAGGATGTGGTAAACAGTCGAAGAAAAAAAATTTACGAGAAATAGAATCTTTTAATTATTTCTGCATTGTTCACGTGGACGCTATACCGTCTAGCAATCGATAAGTTTCACATAGTTGTGTTAAATTCTTTTTTTCTTTCTTTTTTTCTTATTATGCATTCATACTTGATGACATTAAATGTCGCGACAAGTATAAAACACCCTGTGGCGCACGCGCTCATTCACGCTAAGAAAATGCGATTGTATTTACAAAAACTTACAGGCTTATTGATTGTTAAATAAACGCAGAGTCCTATCATTCTATTTTTATACAATAAGACTTATACAGTAAAAAAAATTGCACATCGAGATTTACTTAACATAAGGAATAACTTAGGTACACGGGAATCAATCCGTCTTACAATCGAACGACGAGATTGAATTAACGTATTATCGCGACTATGATTGCGACTAATATATTCCTATGGAGAACATCTAAATGGAACCATATATTTACGAGTTCTCATAAAAATAAATTATATAGAATATGGCGTGTTTAAATTATTTGTGGCTTCTATGTGTTTACGTCGGTTTCAGCGACTTTCTACGGAGATAATCTCTCTCTGGAGATGAATTTTAACCAGCATCATGGAGAGATTTTTGTACGGTATTATGTGTCATTCATTATACCTTCCGGTGAAGATACACGAGATTTCGAGATACACGGCGCTTCTTCGGCGATGTAATCGAGTCACTCATGCATTTACACATTCGCGTTGTTTGTCAACGTCTCTAGGATTTTTGCTGCGAAGATAAATCTTTATCGTCGACACGACGACACGTGATGGGTAAGATTCTTACACAGCGTGATACGTCATTTCGAACAGGCTGCAATTGCCTGATCCTCGTCCTACATTTAGAACGGTGGACAATTCACGCCAGGATGAAGATACTGGCATTTATCGCCCACCCGACAATAACCGTTCTTAGAAAATTGTCGGCATACTGGCGGCTGTTTGCCACTTCCTCGCCAACCGCCACCACCGCCTCTCCAACCACCTCTACCAGGTCCGCCACCACGATACCAAGCTCGACCTCGACTATGTATGGGCACCCCTCTGGGTCCTGGGAAATTGGGTCCAGGTGGGTACATCGGTCCAGGTGGACCTTGGAAGTTATTGGGATTCATATTATTGAACCCACCCATGTCTTCTGGTCCCATCATACCGTAACCCTCTTGTTGTTGGTTGTACATGGGTGGTGGACCCATCATACCAGGCGGAACCATTGGTCCACCTTCCATTCCCTGATTGAAACCACCAGACATGTTCGCCATGGGATTCATACTGACATCGGGTACTACGACTTTGCCGTCACCGGTTCTCCAACCGCCACCACCGGCCGACATCGGTCCTGTCATTTCTTGGCTCATAGGACCCATATGCGTAGGAGTCATCATCTGTTGTGGCATCTGCGACATGGGACCCATTGCCTGTTGTGGTCCCATAGGCGTCATCATCGGCTGCTGATTGTGTGGGAATGTTGGGTAGTGGAACGTCGTTACCGCTGGCGGTTGAGGTATTAATTGCGGCTTGGGTTCGGGCCATGGAACCGACGTAAAGTCCTTCTCGCTTTCCTTATTACCTGTAAGGTCGTCCAATGGTATCACCTTTGGGTCGGTCACCACGTGGTGTCGTTCCTCATCTGGCTCGGCCGCAGAATCCGGAATCCTGCAATTCAAGAACGATCGGAATTAGAGATCTTCATGATTAATTGAAGATCCAACGACGAATTATACAATATGACTCGCTTTAGTAAAATCAAACAAGTTATACAGGGTGTCCCAGACTATCCTCCGGATATTTTGTGGAAATGTAGAACAAGTCGAAATGAACATAAAAGTCCTATATCATTTTGCGATATTCGCAATAATAGTCGAAAAAAGAAGATTGGTGAATGATCACGCGCGATATGGTAGATAAGCTGCAGTGGCGCCGTCTGCCGTTGTATACTTATATATTAAGTCAAACTGAACAAAAAAGTCCTCTATTCAATTCCATTTTGCAAATGACCACATAGATTTTTAGATATTAATTAAAGAAAATTGTTACACACGCACCCACATACAGAATTGTGTACCATAATATGTATACAAATTTTCTTTAATTAATATCTAAAAATCTGTGTGATTATTTGCAAAATGATAGAAGACTTTTTTGTTCAATTTGACTTAATGTATAAATATACAACGGCAGATGGCGCTCATCTACCATATCGCGTGTGATCATTCATCAATCTTTTTTAATTAATATCTTGAAATTTATTGCGAATATCGCAAAACGGTATGGAACTTTTATGTTCACCTCAATCCATTCTACGTTCCCACAAAATATGCGGAGGAAAGTCTGGGACACCCTGTATACAACTAGTTTCAAGTGTCTGTCGAGATGGGCCAATATAATTCAATAAGAAAGACTTGCATCTGCTTCAAAATTTAATTAATAATATATAACATAAAATACATACATGCTTCGGTTAAAATAAAGCGCTTGAAGAATGCCTTTTTCACGAGCATATTGAATGTCTTTCTCCCTGCTGTCTTTTCCAGGCTCCACTAAGGGAGGCGGAAGATCGATAGGAATTAAAGGCTTCCACCTTGTTCTTTCTTCCATTAAATCTTCGTTATCTGACAAAAAGGAAGACATTTTTATAAATAATATCTATTTGTGTGCATAACTAGATACAACTAAAGTAGATAATTAACCATTTATAAATCAATAAATATTTTTTTATGATGTATTTAACTATATATGAATCAAATTAAAATATCTTATTAATTAATTAAATACATACTTAGTTTTCTGGCCATCTGAAATGCTTCCCTCTCGTTTTGTTTCTCCATCTGTTTCATATCGGTAAACGTCTTCGTCACATTGACTCTTTCTGTTTCATCTAACTCGAAATAACGTATAGATTCCAGATCCGTCTTCCACTTTAAGATCTTCTTTGGTCCCTTACGTTTCTGAAGTAGTAAAACACTTCTAAGTCCATCTACGTATCGTATTTCGGAGTAAGAATTAACATTATCCTTTTTCGATGAATCCGAAACTATCGAAGATGCATCTTCCGGCGATTCGGAATCCTTCGCATCCTCCACATCTTCTTCGGGTGTTGGCGCTAAGAGAAGACAAAGTAAATAAATATTAATGTAGTATTAATTATATATATACGGATAAGAGTATAGATCTCTCTAAGATGTTTTTGAAACATTTATATACTATTTGATTGTCTTTACGTACAATATGCATTCTTCAAGAGGAACATTTTTGAAAGAAACTCGCTTCCGCTTAATAAGTCTATACACTCACTGTTACTTCCGTCATCGTCATCTCTGTTATCCTTGTCATCATCCATTGCCAGATCCTTGTCCTTTTTCAAATCTTCCTCGCTATTTTCTTTTTGTTCTTTATCATCTTCTATTTCCAAAGTATCTTGATAGAACTGCAAGAAACAAATTTTATATCTATCGTTAATAGCATTTCTAAAA